CCAGTGCAATAAGTTGGAATAAAAGCAAATATATTTGTTTCATTCCAATTTATTGCACTAGTTCAGAAGCGCAGCGAAAACGAACAGGCCTATAATGTAATACCTAGGTATAAACAATATGAGTAAATGTTTGTTATTTTTACACCTCACTACAGTTGATTACACTAGGTCTGTTTAAGTTTTAATTCTGTAGTTTTAGTCAGTTAGTAGGCTGGAGTTGTAGTAGCACAACTGTAGGGATAACAAACATCTACTATGTTGAAGGACATGCCAAGTCCTAAGGCTTGTATTGCATCATAACTATGAAACTAAGGTTTTTTCAGAAAAAATTGTATAGAACATTTTAGTCTTATTTTCACCTCTACGTTACAGCCACAAAGTATTCACATGTACTTATGAATCATTCTGTAGAGTGCATGTTACTAGTATAACTTAACAAGCGTAACAAGGAATGTGGATCAATAATATTTGACAGACTAGTACTGACTTGGCGTTTGCCAATTTCAATTTTTTACAGTGGTAGTATGGAGCCTGCGTTTCACAGAGGCGACTTGCTCTTCCTCACCAATTATAAGGACGAGCCAGTGAGAGTGGGCGAGATCGTAGTTTTCAAAGTCGAGGGCAGAGACATACCTATTGTGCACAGAGTACTTAAACTTCATGAAAAGTAAGGATTCTCGCAACGCATCTCCATTCACATGAAACGTAAATTTTGTAGAAAACGATTCTAACAGGCGTAAAATTTCCAGGGGTGACCAAAATAACACTGTCAAGTTTCTCACGAAAGGCGACAACAATTCTGTGGACGATCGAGGCCTGTACGCGCCTGGTCAGCTCTGGTTGACGCACAAGGACGTGGTCGGCCGAGCGAGAGGCTTCCTACCGCACGTCGGCATGGTCACTATATACATGAACGAATATCCTAAATTTAAGTATGCAGTATTAGCATGTCTTGGACTGTACGTTTTGGTACACAGAGAATAAAGCTGCTCGATAAGTTTAAAACGTTTGTTTTGCGACAAATCTGATTGTCTCTAGGGGAATGCGCAGTTTACTAATCATTTAGATAAAAGCAGACACATACAAAGCTATGTACAACGGATATATTCGCGCATACGTCGCTGAATTTCCACTTGATAGGAAGTATTGAAATTTTGGGCCAGAGTGCATTTCTCTGTACATAAAAAATTCGAATCGATAGTTTAAAAATTGAATTAAAAATCTTATTAAAGAATTTTCGTCAAAATTTATATTGAATATTTTGTCTCAATTTTCATGTCAAGATACGATATTGGAGGTGAATGCTCTATAATACAGGACCATCGAAAATAAAAATATAATAAGCGATATAACATTCTCTGTTCTCAAGGGTTTGAGTTACGTAATTGCTTGATTACAACGGCAATTATGAGAAGCATTATCTGCAGCTATAATAAATATAAAATTTTTGAAAGATACCGTAATGTTGAAAAAAGGCGTTTTTTTTTAGAATATTCTCATTTTTGTTTCTTAGGTAATTACACGTTTATTAAAGTGATGCTGCTTACATAAAAAGTCACTGTTTGTAACCTCTTTATGTAGCATGTGTTAAATCGTCGTCAATTTTTCTCCGCTTTTACTCGGTAAACGCGGCAGCATATTATATTATAAAACCCGAAAAGATCAATTTTGTTGTAATTCTTCGTGTGGCACGTTGTAATTACTTTTATCTCACGTGTGAAATAAATTTGTAATATTTTAGTGCATTACGATACTGGAAATATGTAGTTTTCTCTTTTCAAATTGACCTAACGATAAGCGTATTTAAACTGCGCATTTCAATTTTCTTAAGCTAATTTCGCAACTCTGTCGACAACTAAAAAATACGTGATAAGATTAAACTAAATTAATCGTACGCGAAAGTTTACCAATAAACATGTTATTATATTTTTATCAAAGAAATTTTGTCTGTTATCAAATGCATGATATACATGTTTTCCGTATTAGTGTTATGTAATAACTTCTGATTTGCGCACTAACTGACACGAAAGGACAGCACGTGATATGCCTATTTCTTATTTGAGATTGCTTATTGTATACACGAGAATATATATACGAGAAAATAACGAATATTAACGCAATTCTAAGCGTATCCACAGCTCTTTGGGAGTGACGAGCAAGCCCGACAGCTTATCTTGAAGGCTTGACGGTTCACCTTCAACGAAGAAGAACTTAAAATTCTGTAACAGAAGAGCCAATGTCCCGAACAAATTGAATCTGGCAAAAGTTTCTCCTGCGCACAGCCGATGACCTATACAAAAGTATAGAAATAAATTCATTATTATTATTATTATTATCATTAAATTTAATCTGATAGATGAAAAAATTCAGCAGAATTTGCTAGATTTCACTAGATCACGTATATGTATATCGACTTACCGGCACCGAAGGGGAGTGAAATATCTTTGCCTAATTGACCGTCCTCCTTCAGAAATCTTTCCGGTCTGAAAATTTCAGGCTCGTCCCATAAGTCGGGATCATGATGCATCGCCGCCAAGTTAGTGAAAACCGTTGTGTCCGCCGGTATCTCGTAGCCTCCTAATGTGGTTTTTTCCTTACACCTGTGAGCCGTGCTAAGAGGTGCGGCTGTTTCAAGTCTCATCGTTTCTCGTATTGTCGCCTCCACATAGGGCAAACTAAAACAAAATGAGAATGGATATCTGTATTGTTGAACATGGTATAATTGAAATTGAACCTATGTTAACTTTTGAAAGTGATAGTAATACTTTTTATGTAAAAAAATCTGAACTAATCTGAAATGTTTTATATAAAGAAAAAGTAAACTGTTTTCCAGTTTATTTTCATGCAGCGTATTGCAATATTTCTTGCTTTCTTCTATGCCTATGCATTTTAAATTTCATAAAACAGCTCACGTTTTATAATTTTGATAAGAAAATATGCGTATTGATAAATTGGGTTTCTTGCAACCTTTCCTTTTTATTATTTATAGTGAAATGTAAAATAATAAGATAATGTAATCAATAAGATGATTAAATTAAATTATTGACAAACATGTTTTCTTAGGAACCGAAATAAAATTCTTTTTTATAAAATTGAAAATAACAATTTGCGGTATATGTATATATTCATTTTTGTTTTATGAAGTATAAAACATTAATTTGCAGTTTTGTATATCCATTGATAAGATATTTTATATATAT